TTGATTATTTATTTTTAAATATGTAATTTTAATAATTTTAATTTTATAAAATTTAAAATTTCAATCTCAACAAATATTTTTATTAATAACTAAAATTATAATAATGATTTTTTATAACATAATATTAAATAAATGACAAAAACGTAATAGTTAATATTTAAATAAAATTACACACATAGTCTTATTTTTTATTTCATATGATAAAAATATATGTGATAAAAATAATATTTAACAATATACTATTTCGAAAACCAAATCAACATTTACATAAAAAAAATAAAAAGGAAAAGAAAAAAAAAATGACACGTACTGGTTTGTAGCGTGCAGGTGTCACAAAGGCATAAGGTCTCCATGTCCCTTTCACGTACAGTCAACTACTTTGCTTGGGCTTCATGTTTCAGAGTTGGCTTAGTTTCTTCCTCATTCATCAAACCATGGAGAGCAAAGAGAAGAACATGGTTCCACCACCATTTCAGACCCTACTCGATGCAAGTGCTGGCGCGTCCCACGAACAACCATCTTCTCCTCATCATGACTCTCACACCTTCTACACTAAACTCACTGACTTGTTGGACTCTTCTGGATTCACTCTCATGTGAGTTTTCCTCCATAAAACAACAAATTGTGTTATGGGGTGGTCAAGTACTCAAATATATTTTTTTAGCCTCTTCTCTTTAGTTGCATGTAAGGAAAGTTGAGTCTTTTTTGTGTTGCTGCTTCCTCTTTCACCTTCTGACTTTTCATCAACAAACAATCACCACCTTAGTAATTGCAAATTATTTTCTAGTTAGTCTCAAACAAAGTAAACAAGTCATGAAATGTTTTCTGTTTACATGTGTCGTTGCAAATCTACTTGGCAGTTTCAATGTCCGAGAAACATTGCTGGACTTGTACCTGTTTTACTTGGAGGTGACCAGAAGAGGAGGATATCACCAGGTATATATGTTGCCCATTTACCTCACCTCACACATTTTAGTTGTTTTGTCTGTATTGGAGCTTCTATGTGCATGTCAAGTTTATTCATCCAAGTTTATCAATGCATGAATTTGTATCGGATTTTCAAATGTAATATCATGTTAATGTGTTGGATTTTCTGTTGAATGATTCCAGGTTGGTCGAGAAAAGAAATGGGGGGAAGTAGTCTTTGCCCTGAAATTGGAAGGGAATAGTGTAAAGTTATGTGCTCAAGTTGAAAAGCTTTACGAACATATTCTCTACCAATATGAGCTATTGTACTTCTACAGGTGTCCTACAAATCAAGCTGGATCTAGCAGCAGCAAAGGTTAGCCCACGAAGCCTTTTATTTGTGGTTATTTTAATTACGTATGAATTCAGTATGGCACTTCACACATAAGTTCGATATATGGAGATATTTCTTGGCAGTTTCTACATATATGGTTTACAATTACTGCTTGGACATAACACAAGACATTTCACCGTTCCATTATATGATGTTTTTGCTACATTGGTTTTGGGTTGAAAATGTACTTTTTACCCTTAAAGGGCTTTTGTTTTTCCCTTCCTACATCCTCCTCTTTTTGTAAAGGTCCACTTAAGAAGAAGCGGAATTTAATAGCTAGTTTACCACCTCGTATAATGGATATTGAAGATGGTCAGAAGGCCACAGGGATATCCAAGGACTTATCATGCCACATGACAGGTTTGTTACTTGGCCATCATATATGCATCAGTTTTCTTCAGTAAGTTGAGAGTGTGTATCTAGTGACCTTAGAGATGCTTATGCAATAAATTGGATTCCAACTTAGCAGGGTTTGTGGAACAGCCTGTGTTTTTACTGCCACCCTCGAATGACAAAGAGATGAAGAGACGCCGCGGTGCTCCAAGTGGACGAAAGAATGCATATCAGATATTCCTCAAGCATGAATGTGCTCGATTGAAAACTTCTAATCTGGCCTCAGATGGTCAAAGAGTCCTACGTATGGCTATTGATGCATGGAGGAATATGTCTGAACTTGAGAAACAGGTATATAGAAGTTGACATAGTGAGCTTTACGAACATATTCTCTACCAATCTGAGCTATTGTACTTCTACAGGTGTCCTACAAATCAAGCTGGATCTAGCAGCAGCAAAGGTTAGCCCACGAAGCCTTTTATTTGTGGTTATTTTAATTACGTATGAATTCAGTATGGCACTTCACACATAAGTTCGATATATGGAGATATTTCTTGGCAGTTTCTACATATATGGTTTACAATTACTGCTTGGACATAACACAAGACATTTCACCGTTCCATTATATGATGTTTTTGCTACATTGGTTTTGGGTTGAAAATGTACTTTTTACCCTTAAAGGGCTTTTGTTTTTCCCTTCCTACATCCTCCTCTTTTTGTAAAGGTCCACTTAAGAAGAAGCGGAATTTAATAGCTAGTTTACCACCTCGTATAATGGATATTGAAGATGGTCAGAAGGCCACAGGGATATCCAAGGACTTATCATGCCACATGACAGGTTTGTTACTTGGCCATCATATATGCATCAGTTTTCTTCAGTAAGTTGAGAGTGTGTATCTAGTGACCTTAGAGATGCTTATGCAATAAATTGGATTCCAACTTAGCAGGGTTTGTGGAACAGCCTGTGTTTTTACTGCCACCCTCGAATGACAAAGAGATGAAGAGACGCCGCGGTGCTCCAAGTGGACGAAAGAATGCATATCAGATATTCCTCAAGCATGAATGTGCTCGATTGAAAACTTCTAATCTGGCCTCAGATGGTCAAAGAGTCCTACGTATGGCTATTGATGCATGGAGGAATATGTCTGAACTTGAGAAACAGGTATATAGAAGTTGACATAGTGTCTATTTGGATAAAAGTTAGAAATTCTTTTAACAGCTTTTTCCTATAAAAAAATTGTAAACTTGTTCTTTTTTATGCCCTTATGGGGCATATGCTTGGAATTTTCCACTTCTGATTACTTTTCATGCAGCCATATGTGGAGGAAAGCAAGAAGAACAAGGAAGAAATTAAGGAAGCAATGATTAGTCACAATAAACAGCAGAGCAGCCAAGATACTAGGGAGGAGAAGTGGCCTAGTACTCTGCGTGGTGATTACCTTGTAACTTCACAACCTGAGGCAAATGAATCCCTTGTCAACAAAGCAACTGTTGGGTTAGCTCTTAAAATGACCGAAAAAGCGCCAAGGGATCCTTCATTTCTAATGGAATGGGATGGTTATTGTGCACTAGATTCACCAACTAGGGAATCTCAGTAACTCCACTAGTCTAGTTATAGGTGGGTTGTTTTTTTGGTCAGAGACCATGACTATGCATCCAGCACTTTTCTCTTTTTAATGACCAAGACCAAGCTGCATGCTATGTGTATATATAAGGTTTCGAAACAGCTAAAGGCTTGGAATAGTTGGATCATAGCATCTTCTAACCCTAGAAAAGTATGTACATATATGTATCAAAGCCTTGTATGGTAACGCAAACTTATGTTGGTGTAATTCCTATTGCAAACTACCTTTTTCTTGGGATACAAAGACTACTGATGGAGTCATTTATTGCGGGCCATTCGGATAGCTGACACTTGAGGTTGGGGATACGTAATTATGGATAGAAATTCGAGCAATAAAGTTTGCAGAAAGACACGCACACTTTTACATTTCATGGCCAATAGATATCGCTAATGCCAACTTCCATGATGATCCTTTTGGCATCCCTTTGAAAAGCAAATAATGATAAGCAAAAATATTCTTCATGATCAAACCACAGTAACCAATACTTTTCTTTAAGGCCTCAGAATTTACCAAACCGAATAAGATATATTTTGATACAAAATTTATTTCAAAAACTGAAGACACTCTAGTTTCAGAGAGCATCTTATTTTCGTCTTTTATGCTGTTTGGAGGCTAGTCTTCATTGATTTCTGAGGGAAGAGATTGTAGAATAGATATCCCTCCCTAATCGCGAATCATGGTAAGTGTGAAGGTAATTTTGAGTGGGTGGAACAAGCTAGTGGAACTGAAGAAATATTCACCCAAAACAATTGTGCAGAAGAGTAAGCAAAATGTATTTGTGTCATTTCAGGAGTGGTTTTTCCACGTGATTGCAAGTGTCCAACAAAAATATGATAATAAGGATATGACAATGATTCATCAAAGCTACATCAAATTTAATGAGAAGTAAAAATGGTTAATTTTTTTTGTACTAGTAGCAAGTCTTGCCTCAGTTATAAGCTGGTTCAACAAGCAAATAGTATCTCTAGCAAGTACTTTCGTCATATATGTTTCAGTTATAAGCTGGAAACAGTATTAGATAAAATTTTGACAAGGGTAATGAAAAATTACTACTTAATTCTTTTCCTTAAAAGTTGTCAGAAAGTCCTGTATACATCCTTCTAGTTACTCCTGTAGAGCATGACCACAAACCTATTCCCAACAAGGCAGAGGAAGGAAAGTGAAAAACCAGACGTGTTTTTGGCCTTTTGCTAATGTTAGATTTTCTGATTAGGCATTTAATAAGAAAATTCAAAAGGAGGGCCTGTAAATTGTAAATACTCGGACGTTCAAATTCAAACAATAATGTAAATGGTTGGTTGACCTACAAAATTAATCATCAATCTCTGCTCAAATAGTTTCTTTTTTGTAGCTGCAATCTTATACAAGCAAGAGAAACTAGCCATGCTGGTTATTTATTCATTAGTACAAGCACAGTACACTTCTACAAAGGATCCTACCAAGCTTAACGTGATATCATCAAATGATGGACAATCAACCTAATACAGACTTGAGATAATTAACAATATTAAGAAACTGTTCCTTCCATATTGATTCCACATGCATAATTCTTCCCAGCCTGACATCTTTCATATAATCAAATAGTCTTGGTTGAATATAGTTACACACATAATTCACTAAGCTTAAAAAGGTAATATAAATGCAATTACAACATCAAATTAATAAATTTGTTACCAACCTTGCTGCCCTCTGACAAGTTGGTGAACTTATACAATGAAGCAGAGTACGTGTAGAAGACATGTCATTCTTAAATGATGGCTAGTGGATAGGATAAGTTGACTTAGCACGCTGAGACCAAAAGAGAGCCTAAGCTTACACGTGGCAGTGGCTAAGCATGTCTGCTAGGAAGTAGTTAACCAATACGATGATAAGAGCCAAGTCAATATAAAGTTTTTCATTATGAACATTGATTATGCTGTTATAGAGTTGAACTAGTTGAATGGCATTGCAAATTGCAGCACTTCTTCTAGCCTATCGTTCTTGGTAGTCGGTAATTATGTATCCATCGTGTGATCTAGCTTTTAGAAATATATAAATGTAACTCTGCCAGTTGAGTTAATGAGCTCAGTTTGCTACCTTATTTGTAAATTAAAGTCTACCATTTTTGTAAATTGCAACAAAAATTCCTTGCTTATACTTTCAGAATCATGTGGTCACATGATTCTATCAAATGAGTTTTTTTTTAATGATATAGTCTATACAGTATTTAAAATCTGATAATTAAAATTAATTTATATATAATATATAATTTTACTAATCAAATATTATTTTAACAAAGACTAAATCAAATCTAAGAATATCATATTAACCTATATCTTTACAGTCACCGATACTAAAAGACTTGATTTATTAAATAAGATTTTACTTCATCTTAAAAATGACAAAATATTACTTTTTTGGTTTGGACAACAAAGTCATAACTTAGTCATAAATATAATTTTATTTTAAAATTATAAACACAAATTTCAAACCACATTGATAATTTCATATGTGATCCTACATGTGTTAAACGTCTCTCCAAACATTCTAGAAACACTGGACTTGATAGGCTTACCTCCCAAAGCCGCAAATCTAACATATATCTTGCGTCTAAATTCAACAAGCTCTCGAAATCAACATTTGGCCAAAATAATTGGACTAGACTTTTCTATGGAGCCGAAAAGTTAAATTGGTTAAGTTCATGTTGATCCATGACTCGTAGTTATTGTACGGGATCATATAGGTAATAAATGATAAGAAAAATATGATCACACTAATAAGGCTAATTTAATATATCAATTTTATTTCAATGATCACAAATTTTAGGATTCAACCAAGTTTTGTATTACAGTTTTTTTTTCTTTGATTTTTTTTTTAAGAATTTAATGTAAACTAAAAGATATGAAAACAAGTAATAATCACAAATATTTTAGAAATACAACAGTGGATATATAAGAGAGTGTTGGGATATGATATTCATGGTTGGGTTCTTTAATTAACTAGAGATTAACTCCTTAATTCGCTAGTACCTCTTGAAATCTTAAGCGATAGTTAATTCATTAATTTAATCATCAAGAACTCAAGGATGAAACTCCATCCAAGCAAATCCAGAAGATCCATCACAGTATTCTCAAGGCAATGGAATGAAGGAGTCTATCTATCGCTAGGTGAAGTTGATACATTAGTTTTCCAATCAACATGCAAATGATCAATTCAATCAACGAATGGCTAGTTAATGAAGCATTAAAAACGAAGGATAAACTCTTAATATTATTTATAGAAACTAATAAGTCTCGGTCATCTATACAAATTCCAATTCAAGCTACATTAACATCCCAAATAAAAGGATTTAGCTACTCGTGGAAGAAGAGAAAGAAAAACGAAGAAAATAATCGATAGAGAATGACCCCTCATTGTTGTTCCTTGAAAAATATTATTTGTCACATAAAACTTTTGAAAATCACCCTTCCTTTGATTTTCTGAATCAAATGTCTTCTTATATTAGTGACTTTTCAATGGAAAGTAGTAATTTTAGTTGTTAATAAATAAAAAAATATTTTGATAAATGTGTGACTTGTTATACTTACTCTTAATTAGCACATGCACCTCACTTGTTACCATCTTTTCATGAAGTGACTAAATCATACACACACATGGCACGTTCTCCTCCATCATTCTCGTATGCAATATTCACACAAACATGCACACGTTTTTTGGGCATCCTTACATGTTACATCACTCCATAAAAGTGTAATCCCTGGTCCTTTCATCATTCCATCATCTCTCTAACACAACAGTAACAATGCAGTGAGCACAACACATAAAGGGTTACTGTTGATCAAGACATTTGGGGTTACTTTTAATAGGCTAGGAACTTGATTAGGTCCAAGATGAAAATGATAAGAAACCAAATAAATGAGATTCTAGTTTAACAAACACAAATAAGATATTGAAAGTAAATAAAAGAGAGTAATGGATGCAATTAGCAAAACAATAAAAAAAAAATATTAATTTTTTTTCTTATACATGCATTTTTTTTCAGAATATATTCTCTTTTTGAGACACTTTTATTTATTGGTTAAATTTTATCTAAATCTCATTAATTAAGAATAGAGCGCACATGTTAATAAATGATTACACAATTTTTAAGTGTTTAAATATATGGTTATATTGGTGTAACAAAAAAATATATGGTTACATAAGTATTTATAAAATATTATAAAGTTTAAGTATTATAATTAAAAATACGTGGGACACACACAAATTCAACATACACCAATCAATACTTTTAAAAATTAAAATATATAACGATCAAAATATGATTGAATTATAAATTAAAGTGTTAAAACAATATATCTTAAAATCACTATATAAGCTTACCATATTCACCACTTATATGTATAAATAAATCAACATATATAAAAAGTAAATAGTAATTAATAAATAAATAAATCAACCACTACAGAAGGAAAAGATATTAAAAAAAATACTAGTAGTGCATATAAGAAATTATTAGCAACATATAAATTATAAAGTTATTTAACTAAATTATATATTTTTTTTAGTGAAAAAAGAAGGAAATATTAAAAATAAAAAAAAGTAATAGCAACGAATTGTTATAATTATTTTGTTTTAAATATTTATATTAATTTAGATAAAGAAATAGAAGGAAAAATTAATTCAAAAAAAAGTATATTATATATATTTGGTCTTACTAGAATTGGAAGGCGAATCATTTTATAAATTATCTCAAAAAGCTTATAAAATAAGTTTAAAACATATTTAAACTGATCCAAGCTCTTCTAAACACTTTTATAAACACTTAATATATAAAAATAAGTTTAAATGGGCAGTTTATAATTTTTTTTCAAATGGAATCTAATAACAAGACATATTGTATTAATAGATAATTTTATTGGTCCGGGAGATTGGCATATATAGCTTCAATTTATTATACTACTAATTAGTATGATATATTAAATATTATGTAAATTCACAATATCTATGATAATATATAATTTACTTTTTTAGACAAATAAAGTTTACACTAATGGAAATTAGCCTAACGATCAACGTACTTCTTTTTTTACTAGTATATATAAATTAAGAAAAAAAATTAACTAGTAACTAATACACCTATATATACATTATAGACTGGACTAATTAACCAAATTAGTTTTCACCAATTTTTTTTTAACCAAATTAAGGTAATAATGTTGTGAGGCCAGCTTCGGACAGTGAGTTCCCAACTCAACCAAAACAGACGTCTCTCTTGCACATTTTTGAGCCAAGAACTTCAACGTTCAACCAGTTTCTGTCAAGCTTTAATTTTATTTTATTTTATTGCATTATATAGTATTCAAATACTTAATTAGGGGCCATGATCTTCCTTCCATCCAATGAAATCATTTACAATTGCAGGGTTTGTGTGAGGTCGTTTGGCTTTCTGATTACTAATAAGATGACATCATCACTGTGTAATGACATTAAACAATACGTTTATCACCAAAACCATCATTATGGTGGTTGTTTTGTGGATAAGCAAAGGGTAGATTGATTAGCAAGGCAAACAGTGACGCACAATTGCATTTGATTAATATATAATACTGGTAGGGTGTTCAATAATTGGACATTCGTGTGTTTTAGTCCTTCTTAGAATGCTGATGAGAAGCACATATCACCCCACAAAGAGCTAGTTTGGAAATTAATTAGTGTGTTGAAAGAGTCTTGTTCAGTACAAGTACAACATGGATTATAATATTCAAGATAAGACAGAGTGAAACGCGTTAGTTGCACCAAATCCCAAATTAAAACTCCTGCCTAACCATTGTCTAGTAGTTTGGTACAAACCATTTGGTTTAGTGCTTTTATTCTAAGCCTTAATTATCATCTCTGTTGATGGAAGACGTGTGTACAATATCTCATTCGTAACATTCCTATAACACAGCGCAAGCATTAGAAGAATATTTCCATAAAGTAAATACTCTACAAAAAAAAAAAAAAAAAAAAAGTTTAAAATTGATTATCAGTGGTATCGTGACAAAACAACAAATTGCAACATCACAACTTCGCACCGCCCTCATTAAGTGTCAAAATAATTCAGGTGGGTAACCTTTTGGTTTACCAATTCAGACATGATTCCTCTTGTTTTGGGGGTTCTGAGAAGAATAATTGGCCGCAGACCACGAATTTTGGTGCCATGATCATGAGATTTGATTCACATACGAACAGTGACACTAGTTTTGCATCTAACTTTTAATGAGTCATCTCCAAGGTCAACCATTCATGAATCATGACCAGTTATGTGTGCATATAAAAATAAGAAACTGCATATACAATGTGCTAACCGTTTATTTAATGTAAGAAAACCATGTTGGGAAGCATAGCAGCATGAGTCATGAATGTTGTTTGTCTTATGCGGTCATCTGGTATAACTAATCTTTGTATTATACTAATGTTTGTGTTAAGAGACTCTAATCCCATCAAATCATTATAATATATGGTATTAAAGGAAGAAGTGAATTGCAAATTGGCTTCTTTACGAAACATGGTTAACAGGATAGAAGAATGAGATTATTGGTCTATGAAAGAAGGAAAATTGATTGATTATTAACTAGGAAGAAGAGCCGCATAAAAGTCTGATACAAGTCATATCTTCTCACATGGATTAATAATAAGATTTTAAAGTGAAAATCTGATTAATCCCACAAGAAAATACAAGATTCGGAGCAAATCTATAAGAAAGGTAAAAACATAGATGCTTTCACGGAGTAAAGATGGTTTCTCTGACCAAGATAACTTTAAATATGCAAAAGAGGTGTACAGAGTTACAAGGGTAGAAAGCAGTGAATATAATAAGTAATGGAGTTTGACCACATGTTTCATATTAAGACATAAGTGGCCTACCTAATTAACCACTCCTTCATGGGTAAAAATTCTTGGAGGGTCTCTCTCAGTCTCAGTCCCACCTAGGTTTTCACCTGTTTGTAGTTTGTCTATTTTTTCAAAACAAAGATATCTTCTCACAAGCATACAAATTTAAAAGCGTTTTTAAAATTTTTTATTTAGACTATGAAGATAGCTCAACTCAAAAGACTAATACATTAAAAGTCTCAAAGTTTAAAGACCAAATTGAATTTTATATTCTATTTAAAGACTCTTAACAATTTCTTTTAAGAAAATAACTATTTAAAAAAAATTCAAAAAATACTTCTAACATATATTCAATAGTACTAAAAAATACTACTCAATTGTTTCTTTTTTGACTGAGTGCGAAAATCATTGCACCGGACCAATTCCATTGTTGTTTAATATAATGGGAGGAGAGTTAAGACAGCAAAGCGTGTCTCTTTGACAGAGACAAGGTTCTCTAGCTTGTCATTTGAATACGAGGCTGATCAGATTTTTCACAGATTTTGTTTCATTTTCCAATTCTCAGCACAGCTATTTTATTCTTCATTTGTTACTGATAATAATAATATAACATACTGTTTTGAAAGGCATGCGAATAGTTGAATGAGGACATGGCCAAAACCAAAAATGGAGTGTATAGTATGACAATAATGTAGAGCAATGTAGAGTACAATATTCTCCAGAGGGTGTGCAATGTGGATGAAACCTGGCCACACCATCTTAAGAGAGAGTGAGTCCAAAAGAAAAGCCCTTCCTTTTTATAATTAAATAAATATATGAATACAAAATAGAGGGCCAGGTGATAGAAAGTGCGATGAAAACAACCACATGCCTTTCTTTTTCTGTATCTTGGCTTCCATTTGGGTGCTCCACCCTCTAATCATTGCCAAGAATAAAAACAAACAACTTTGGCCCCATTTCAGGAACCAATCAACATACGACAACACCACTCTCCATCCAATAGGCTATTTCCATTCACCAATGCCTTCCAATTAAAGAATCAAGATTTATTATTATTATTATTATTATTATTTTCCTCCAAAGAATAAATCCATTACTTTATCAATTTATCTACTTATTTTTCAAACCCATAAGATGGGGAAACTTATCTTGTTAACAATCATAAAAAAATATTCAAAGCATGAACAATTGGATTCGGAGTTTGGACATACAATCCTTGCAGGTAAAGGGAAGAAACACAGTGAAATTTAAACATTATGATAATACAGATTTTGTGGCTTTATCACATGCCAGCCATTGTCATGGACTCATTAGGCCTGTCATTCATGCCCTGCCAAAAAAAGAACGAATGAAAGAAAGAAAACTTTATCATTTAGCGTGACCAGGTGATGACTTCTCTGACCATCAATCTAGACCGTTGATGAGAAACAGCAGTGCCTCTGCACTGTTCGATTGCAAAGTATTTTCGAGAGTTGGAGACACATTGAAAATGTTCTTTTTGCTTTGCAGGTACGAGTTAAAAAACAGAGTTTTACACTTTTACCTGACGTAGCTCCCAAAAACAATAACACAAGGTAATCGTACCCAAATATATTGTTGCACCAAATGAAAGTTAGAGGCATTGGCTAACCTAAACATGCTTTAATCTTTTTTCTTTTTTTTTTGTTTTTGTTGTGCCCTTTTCTCTCTCCTCTGTCTTTAGGTTCTATCTTTGCAAGCAAGTTAAGATGATTGAGGCAACATGGGGGATCTTATCCGTAAGAGGTGTACAAAATAATAGTGATTAATTGGATTGGATGTACATGCTTTGAAAGTGGACTAATTACAAATAGTTTTTTGTTCCTCCCGTGACTAATAAATATTGTAGTTTGTTGAACCGAAATTTGGAATAAAAACAGAGGATTTTGGGGCCGAAATTTAAAGAAATTAAATAAATAAATAAATAAATAATAAAAAAAAAAAGGATCAGAATTCACGAATTAGTTAGAAGTGCACGAGAATGCGATAAAAATTAATTAGGCAAGTTGTCCACTAGCCCATCCTGTCCAATCAAATAAATCTAAACTTTCCTCATGGGAGGTGCCATGTGAGGTCTCCATCTCTTTCTATTTTATTATTATCATATTCAAAGCACACCGTTGTTTGTTAATCTTTCATTTCGGTTTATTAGTCAAACTAATCTTCAAACTTAACTTCCTTCCCATCCCACTTTCATTACCCCTCAAATTAATTACGCAACTTATTTCATACTCTAAATTACCAATAATCTAATCTCTCCATTCAAAAATACTATTAATTAGTAATTACACCAAAGATGCAACTAACATTAAATCCACCATACTGGAGGAGATGAATTCGAGAATAAAATCACTATTATCTTTTTTTTGATATTAATAAAAATATTTATTTCAGTACACCAAAAAAGTCTCATCATATGTTACTTAAAAATTATAATAAATAATACTGTCATTTATTATTATAAAATTATTTTATAATTAAAAAAATTAAAAAAAGTTGATTTAAATAAAATATGATTATATTATTATAAATAAAAAAGTAAAAAATATATTTTGATATGTATAAAGGGAGAAGGAGGATTTATAATGAAATGAAACAGAAGAAAAAGGAGGTAAAAGAAAAGAGTATGGCAATAAATAAGAGTAAGGAAAGGAGGCGTGGTTCCCCGTGACTTGAACTCCTTTAATACTCTTTCATCTCTTCTTTTTCTCTTCCCCTCACTTGGCACTTGGCACTTGGCATCCACCACCATCAACTTCTTCTTCCTTCCTCCCTCTTTTTCTCTTATCCAATCACTCAATCGCAATTACCTATGGCTTCCTTCCTAGATTCAACTAATTCACACACCCTGCGAGAATCCAACCACAAGAAGCGCCGCAAAATCGGAGAACACGCCGCCGCCGTCCCGTGGAGATCCGACGCCGAGCACCGGATCTACTCGCGCCGCCTCGTCGAAGCACTCCGCCGCACTCCCTCGTCTCCGGCAAAGCCTAGAGCCGCCGGCCAGGTCCGCGATACCGCCGACCGAGTCCTCGCCGCCACCGCCAGAGGCCGGACGCGCTGGAGCCGCGCGATCCTCGGCCGCTGGAGGAAGCTCCGGACGCAACACAAGAAGGTCAAGAAGGCGTCGTCTAACGGATTGAAGAGAACGAGGATCGCCGGCGAGAGGAGGAACCGGTTACCGGCTGTGCAGAAGAAGGCGCGCGTTCTCGGCCGCTTGGTTCCCGGTTGCCGCAAGGTCTCGTTCCCGAACCTTCTCGAAGAAGCCACGGACTATATCTCCGCCTTGGAGATGCAAGTGCGAGCCATGACGACTCTCGCCGAACTACTCGCCGGCGCCGCGCCGGCCGGAGTCGCCGGCGCCGCGTTGAGTTGACCGCGCGCGTTGGTTACGACCTGCGCCAGGTGTTTATTAATTTTTTTTTGTTTTATTTTTTTAATTATATATCGTTTTTATTGGTTTCCAGATTCATGTATTTTATCGTGTACACTGTACATGCCATTTGCTTATTCCTCTCTTTGAGTTCCACTATCACCACCTTCCTTCTTCTTCTTTCTTTTATTCTTTCATATTTAATTGAATGTGAACATGCTACCTACTTTGATTCTTTCCTTAACAACTCCCTCATATATAAATAAATAAATCGTGATACATAAAAAAATGTACTAGAGCACTTTAATTTGTTAAATAATCATTTTCAATATTATTTTGCTTCTACGATAGAGTTTCTTTCGTGAATGCTTCTGTTGAGTAGGGATATTGTAATGTGACTAATGTTTACAAAAGATCTCCTGTGTTTAGCTTTATTTATAAATTAAATCGGAAGGTAATTATATAATTGCTCTTGATTTTTTTCCATGTGAAATTTGTGAGAAACGACGAGCGTTGTGAACTATTTCAAGGTTTTTACAAATGAAAAAAATATACACATTATGAGTCGCCATTGTACAGCTTTACTTTTATGAGAATCTATAATACATTCTTGTGTATATATATAAAAAAAAAATGCTTCGATTTCTTAAAAATGAGAAAAAAGAAACTGCTTCTCCACGGTCACTTTCAGCCTTTTTTTGGTTTGGGGTTGAATTTCATTTGAATGTTTTAACTTTTATCGTTGATAATACTACTACACTTTTATCGGGATTTGCATTGCGTAGAAGTTACCAACTTGGATAATTGCAAATTGCAATTCCCATTCGGTTTACCATTAGAAAATTTCATTTATGCTTAAAAAGTGAAAAATGAAAAACATCGTTATAAAGGAAATAGATAGAAATGGATGCATCGTTTATAGGCCCAACTTCGCATTCGGCTTGATGTGTGAGCAAATTATCTTTAAGTAATCTTAATTTATTTACTAGTATGTTTTATGTAGCATGTGTCTTTATTCATTTCCTTACTCATTGCCCCTATTTCTTCCCTCTCTTTTAAGAAATTATTTCCAAAATAAACGGCGGAAATCCAAAATTGTGACGGATTAGCCTATTTCTTCTTTAGACCATGATTTTCTGGTGATTAATTTTTAACTATCCAAATCTCGTCTCTTAATATAAATAAAATGTGTAAAAGTGAAAAATCGCTAGATTGAGAACTGCGTGGAATGTAGTTTCAAAATTGAGCTCGACTTATCCACAACGAAATTGAACTCTATATTTCAACTTATTTTAATTAATAATAAATCTGAACACTCTTGCCTATAAAATATCCTGAACTCGAAAAAAAAAAAAAAAAAAGAGTTAGATAAGGTTACGTGATTCTTTTAATTTTTATACAAAACAAAAACACACATGTAATTTAACTAATTATACATATTAGTTTTTCTCACTTATCCTATAAAAATAAATATTTCACGTAATACGTGTGTGTATATAAAAAAAAAAAAAATCTTAAATCTAGTCCTTAGAAATATCATTAGATTAGTATCATCTTTCATCACAGACATAATCAATGATGTACATTCTCATTGGATTACATTCTACTTATCAGGAAAAAAAAAAAATCATCGACTAAATTATTTATGCAAAATTTGACTTTGGATCTTACTTCACAAACAGTCAAAATTGGCATTGAGAATTAATTATAACTAGCAATTAACAATATGAAGTGTTTACTTTTTGTGCATAAAATCACCTGACCTGTGTAATCTACGCCCCATGACAACATTCATATATATAATCCCACTGTTATTTGCTTCTCCACTTTTGGTTATATATCATTGTAGTTGACTGCACCTAGCTTAAACCAGTTACTGCAATCAAATTCATAAAACGTCATTTAACTAATAACTATACTCATTTAAAGTACTTAGTTGGTTGGCATCTAGTGACATACCATTCCTGACCCAACAACAAGATTTCTTCCCACTAAACGTGTTTGCTTAATAGTGTGTTTGCTTCCACGTTTTCAACGCGAATTTTCAAGTTCAATCAAAAATTAACAATTGTAACTTCCACGTTTTTTTATATGAATTAACATGATTTTTAACTTTTTAACGTATTTCCAAACATGCACTAAGCCGTTATGCCTTCATAACGATCATTAATCCATTATCAACATGCATCTATAATATATATTAAGCTGCAAGTACAATTTATAAGATATAGATTAATAATTAAAAAAAAAATTAAAAATTATCTTTAACTAAGAATGTATATAGTTAAAGTGTAAGTAACTATCGATGTTAATCTAAATAAAATTAAACTTAGTCTTTAAAGTAAGATATGAAATTTAAGTAAGTATTGTAAATGAAAAAATTGTAATTGAAAGGTGAAATTCGAATAAATAGTTAATCAAGTCTCTAACAAAGACTAATTATTGACATGAATAATATATTGTACACCAATAACAGTTTAAAAAAAATCAACTGAATTGGCAACATCAAAATCTGAGTAGAATCGAATTTAGATTTTATAAATAAGATTTTTTATTTGAATTTTGTGAGAAAAAAATAAAACATATTTTGAAGGAAAGACTCAAACAATGGTAATCAATTAAGTTTTCTAACAAAAATTAGCAATTAATTAGTGAATACTTCATCTAGTGAAAAAAAAAAACTGATTGATTATCATGGATTATATTAGATTTAGAAAGAGTGAGAATAATTACAAAGGTGAATAAGAGAAGATCTTATGACAGTTTTGGATATTTGTGAGACAATAAAATGTAAAAAAAGAGAGAAAAGAACCCCACAAATTCAAAAGTTAATGAAGGAGGCAAAAATTCCAAACTAGGTGAAGGTGAGTTTGATATTATGATCATGTGCTTGGGAGGCCCTACAATATCAAGTGCACCGAACCCTTATACATTGGGTTGCATGTGACTATGTGAGTGTATGGGGAAGAGTTTCACATGCTAATTTGAGAAGGAGAAAGCTTGGTGGGTTTTTGTAATGCATACATATTTGCATCCACATTGTTGTTCTTGGAACAAACACTTAAGGGTTGGGACCTACCCCACACCATTAGCGACTTTTAAGGGACACCTTTTCTAATTAAAGGCTGACACGTGTGGAACCTTGGCACTACAACTGTCATGTTTCAGATGGTGACATGCCTGTGCCTGTGCACGTACATGTGGCAAATGAAATATTATGCCATTTCCCATTTTCACTTATATTCACTAAGGTAGGGTTCCCTCTCATTGCAGCCACACCCCTTGCAAAAATATGTTACATGAATAAATTATTGGAATGATACATAATCACGTAAAATTATTTATCAACTTTTGCATATTAATTAACGCGTGTCTTTTTTATTGAAAGTGATTACTTCTTTTATCATATATATGCCTTCTTTTGACTTTTTCTTTATATATATATCAAAGGTACATTTCATATTTTGTCATTTTTAAAAAATATCATTGTTTAAGTTTAATTGAGATTAACTTATTCAATTATTAATGCTAAAAAATTATACATGTAACTTGTAAATGAATAATTTTGAATGTGCAAATCAATTTGCTTAGTTTCTTTTATATATAATTTACTTCTTAATTTTAAAATTTTATTTCTGTATTTTATTGTTATGCAATAAAATCAAATCCTCGTTTTTTATTTATTTACAAAATAATAGTAACATCTTTGTCATACGGTACATGTATTTAAGAAACATAAGTTTATAATTGATTGGTAATGATTATGTTTTTTATATTTGAAACTTTTCCAAAATTAAAACTACACATGTACTAATACAATAAAAAGAAATACAAAAAATAGTTGTTCATGTATGATTTATAAAATTGATTATATGTTTGTAGATGATAACGTGACTTGAGTGCATGGTTAATTAGAAGGGACCACATTGACATCCACGTATAATGTGTATTTTGTTGGGTTGCCCCTTCAAACTACCATGAAAGCACATTATTTGTATTGTGGCCTTTCATTTATTCTTTTTTCATTCCCATTAGTCACCACATTTCACATGCATCCATGTGCCTCCATTTATGAAGCCGTCTCTCTCTTTCTTTTGTCTTTCTTCTTTTTCTTTATTTTCTCTTCCCTCCTTTCGGTTTTCCATTCATCTTTTACTTTCCTCATCAACTCTTGGCTCAAATTATAGACACCAATCACCTAATTTCATCACCTAATTTAAGGAATATACCTCAAGGGGAAATACTAAGAATATATTTTTCATTATAACTACCATGCTATGAAGTAACAAAATAACAAATTCAAATTCTCCACTTACACCTTATAGTTATAGTTATACCATTCAAAACAATATCCAAGTTATTTGTTAATAACAGGTGTCCTTGCATTTTCCATAGATAGGATAAGCCTAAAAACAAGGTACAATAGTTTGTTTGATGGCAAAACTTGTTCTTTTCAACATTCAAATAAATAGGCTGTGGTCCTTCTAGTAACTACCTAGCTACAACGTACGATGTTAAATGGAGCTTATTCCATCAATAGCTTACTTTATGTCCCTTTGAAAAATGGGGTTAACGATTGTTCAATTAGGTAAATATATATATATAGATGTTAATCTAAATAAAA